TTCCGACCTAGCTAGGAGACAGGGGCAGGGTCGGGCCGAGGCTTCGGGTCGAGGCGCGGGCCCGTGCCCGGCGGCGGCAGCTGGCGCCGGGGCGGACGGGAGGCGCGTCCCCGTCGCTGTGGGGCCGCTGCGTGCCTGAGACAAAGGCCGCGCCGGGGCTGGTTCTGCCTGAAAATGTTACACTCTTTGCTCGGCGTCAGCCCAGAGACCTTATTTTGGGAACAGCTAGTTACAGCCGCCTTTGGCCGTGCTCGGCGTGGAGCCCTCCCTTGGCTGTTCATTTAAAATACAGAAGTAAATAAAAAATGGTCCGTGCTAGGAATGTTTGCCTAGGTCAGACCGAGTGCTACAGGGCATTTTTGGGGATTTTGGCATTGCACAAGGTCAGCGGCAAGAAACATCTGCAGGGGAAGGAGTTTCCCCCTTCTGCCTCTCGAGTGTACGCTTTCTTCCCAGGGTGATAACTGCAGGATTCCTTTGCTTCCCGAAGTTTAGTGTGTGGAGCCAAGGAACCAGGCACTGTCCTTGTGCGATTCTGCTACTTCCCGGTGCTGTTACAGGGGGACAGGAGATAACGTCCCTGAGAATCGTGCTGTGTGGCCAGCTCTGACATCAGGATGCAGTTTTGCTGTTGGTGTCAGCAAAACCATGTACTGATGGTGGTGGTGGTAAGGAGAGCAATAGTAAAGAATGGTGTACCAAGTGGAATTCGGAGCACTGCTCAGCTACAAAACTTTTTACAGTTTTCAAGGCAAATTAATCCTTCGGAAAGCATCAGTATTTGCAGTTACAGCTAGAATGAATTAATCCTTCGGAAAGCATCAGTATTTGCAGTTACAGCTAGAATGAATTCATCCTTACACTTGTTACGGTTTAGGATTTGGTGACTAAAAAAAAAGGTGAGTTGGTTGTGGTTGTTTCCGTTCCTGTGAAGTAGTGCATCTGTTTGTTTTAACAGTGTCTAAAATATACCTAGTGGGCAGTGAGCTTTATGAGAACTTAAAAGTGTTTCTGTCCCTATTACAGAGGATCCTTTGCTGACAGTGGCAAAGAGAACCTCTCAAGGGCTTGCATGCTTTTTGCAGAAGATAATGGATTCTTGCTCTCACCCTCTGCCTTGAAGAACTTTTATTATACACCATGTGACCAAAATCAAATGTTTTTAGGTAGTGTCATGTGTATTTATGGAAACACTTCTTTTGTCAACTGTTTTACATCCTTGAATGCCATAAGTTTTTACTGGACTTGGGGAAGTCTGTGTGATTTGTTTACTAGGTCTTCAAAATAATTAAAATGTGATTAAAAGAGAATATAATTGCCTAGGAACAGAGGGACAATTCATATCTAAACCTTAGCCTGTAGGGATTATTAAAAAATACAAAACTAAACAAAGAACAAATAATTTGGACAACATATAACTTGCTATCCTCAGAATTGAGCTGCTCAGAAACAATGAAAAAACAAGAAAAAGAGATAAAAGCAGAAAAGACTTGCAAAAGGTAAGCCAGCTTAAAAGTGGAACCACAGACGAGGGTTTTTTACTTATAATGCTGAAAGGTTTTTTCCCCACAATTTATTTTTATTTCATACGTGCGTGATTTGAAGCCATTTCAGTTAATTAATTTGGACGTCTGCTTATTTCTTATTTCAGTTTCTGGATGGGTAAATGTTGTTTCTAATGCAGACATCTAGAAACTTGGAGGTTCAACCTTTTTGTTCTGAACAGTAATATAGAGGCTAAAAAATTGTCCTTTATAATACCAGCTATTTTTAAAGCCTGTTTTTAGAGGAGTTACAAAGCTCTCAAGTATTTTCATATGGAACTGGAGGGACTATTGATCCTAGCTAATTTGTCTACAGTGTGGGTAAGACAAATTGTACTAGAAGTTTGGACAGGGTTCAGCAAGTGTGAGAGCCACATCATCTTGAGAAAGGCTTGAGCTTGAAGCAGCTACTGTTGAACTAGGTAGGAGTTCCTGCTTTGTGTAGAGAACGTGCATTTTCCTTCTCAGGGAGGCAGAATTTCCCAGGCTTCATTTAGTTTCTGTATTTGTAAGTTATGTTTTGTCAGTAGGTTTTCTGCTGCTAATCCCTTATAGCATGCTCACTCCTTTCTTCCAGCTGGAGGAAAGCAAGCTGGAAAGGTGACTGCCCTCGACTTGCTTCAGCTGGTAATTGTTAAAGTGGGGAGAACCTGTCAGGTAAAGTGTTTAAGTTAGCCTAACCCACACATGACTGAAGTAAAGGAGAGGTGCATCAGCAGATGAGTTAGATGGAGGGCTCTGTAACCTTCAGGTAAGGGGTGGTGACAGTAGTCACCTGTTCAGCCAGTGCTTGGGAAGGAACCCTGCAGGTGAGACCTCCCTCCTACACCTTTCTTGTGTCTGAAGGTAGGGTCCAGTGACTCCTCTACATTTTGAGACTCATGCTCTTGTCTTGATTTGCATCCAGGCTGGCCTCCTTTGATCTTGCTGTTTCTGTCTGAATTCCTTCTCTCTGTCCAACACTGGGATTTATTTTCTCCCCTCCCCCTCAATCACCCACCAGCCTATTGTTCCAGGTTCCAGTCAATTGGTGTTAATGATTTTCAGTCATTTTCAACCTTTTTTTTTTGGTACAGATGGACTATTTTCATGCTTTGTTTATATTTCTCTTTCACTTTCTGCTCTTTCATCTGCTTTGAAGTTATAGAGTCAGTTGTGCCAGTTCTCAGCATTGGGTCACCACTTGCTTTCCATCCATTAGTCAGTCACTGGCAGGAACCTGGTGAAGCATCCGGCAGACACGATCACTGCTCTCTAGTACAGATGAATGCCTTTTACAGTGACTGGTAAGACACACACAAAGGGTTGAACTGTGAATCATATAATCATCCTCTTCAGCTCACATCTTCTGTCCCTTTCTCCATGCCCTGTCTTCATGCTTCTGTGTTTGTCACTGAAATTGCAGCTGCTGGAGCTTCTGTGCTTCTTGACCCATCAGCTGCCCTAGATGCCTTTGGCACGGTCACAAAAGTGCCTTTCTAATGTTTTTTTTGTTACGTCATTTGAATATTTTCTCCTCCCTGAGATTTCTTTTGTGAATTTTGTATGTTGGATCTCTTTATTTCTGCTACGCTTTATCTCAAGATTCCTTCTTGCAAAACCAATTAATCTGATTTCTTGCAGGTGACTCACAAGTCTGTGTCTGCACATCACACCTGTCATTTTCTGCCCCATGTGAAAAGGCTTGCCTATTTCCCTGATGTGTTGAAAACATCTTTTCTCCCAATTTTATTTTTCCTTGACTTGTGTCAGTGATTAAGGCACTATCTTTGAGTTGGAGTTTTCCCTGCTCATGTATTTTAGTTTGCTGGCTTTTTCTGTGTAGCTGCTCTGTAGTGAAGCATTTCTTGTTTGTGCATGCAGCTCAAATGCTCGTTTGGGCTCCCAATATTCAGTTCTCTGGCTTGGCTTAGCTCTTCTACCCATCCAGGAAGTTGCTACCTACATCCCTTACCCTTTTCTCTGACCAGCTGTCTTTATGCTCGCTAGCAGTTGGCAACATTGCTGGAGGTTGCTGTTTGATACAGCATGGTTTAAGAGAAAAACTGGGTTTGCAACAGAGTAGTGGTGAATGGAAAGGGCAAACATCCTTGTTTAAGAGTTGAGGCTTATTAGTTTGCTAAAGAATCTGCTCGATTAGGGAATATTGGTGATGGTGTTATCCCGAGTATTTATTTATTTTTTTATTAACATAATGAGAGTTGAATTTTGACTAGGCAGTTACCAGAGGCTTTCAGAAGGCCTCTGAAACATGCATACATGAAAATACATATATTATGTGTATCTACCTCCATGTAAGTACATATCTTGCTCTTGCATATAATGTATGTCATTCCTTTGATAGTGAAGTGTTGACATTCAGTACGTGTTTATATTAACCCACAGTCTGCTAGCCCACAGGCAAGGGTGTTATAAAATCACTTGAGTGCCAAATGGGATTTGAACTGTTGTTTTATGTAAGAGAGACAATATCTGTGGAATGAAAAGCTATTGATGTCCATACTATTGGCTTATCTCTTGTCACCAGTGATATGTAAAGCTGTAGCACTTAAAATATTTGAAAGATGCTAATTGCCAACAGTGTTTGTTATTCCTATGCTGTCAGGTTTTTTCTTCACTGTAAAAACTGCATAAACTGTCTGTGCTACAGATGTTAATAAGTATAGCATGTCTGGCTTTTTAAAATTAGACTAAGACTTCATTTCTGTAAGTGTATCTAAATTGACATAATTATGTTAAACTGAAAATTTTAGTGTAATAAATATCTCTTGGCTTGTCCTACAATGCTGTGCGGGTTGCTGCAACATCTCTTTCTTGTGCTGCTTTTGCTTACAGTACAAAAAAAAATCAATCTCAGTCGTGCCATAGATTGCGAGTGCTCCATACTGATTGCAATTTTGGATGTCGTTTGTCAGAGATCAGCAGAAATCCCTCTAGTTTGAGAAAGCTGTATCTTAAATACCATGCTTTTCCTGTGTGATTAGCTTTCTCAGGCTGAGCTGTTAAAATAATCTTGATTTATTAAAAGTACTGGTATTGACCAGTACTGTAAAAGATGATTTTAAAGAAAATAATTCAATGATAATACCTTGCATGAGTCACTAATCATGAGTCATGATCAGCAGGCAGCGATGTCCAATTTGTTTTCTAATCCCGCATTTGCTGATGTTCTTTATTACCATAGTGATAATATTAAAGAGCTGTTAATGCATATAACCACGCAGTTGAAAATGACAGACTCTTTATTCAATGGAATAAAATTTACATATCTTAATTCTGTTTTGCTCTGTACATTTTTTTGACTTGAGAAATCTAGGTAGTATAAAAGTGATCAAACAAGTGTAATTTGGCAGGGAGTTAGGTTAACAGAACAGGCATTTCCCTCCCCCCCTATTCTTTCAATCCAATCATTGTGGCTTCCTAGAGAATTAAATCTAGTCTAATCTTATGAGGACTTCATTAAAAACTGACAGGTAATTGTTCAAGCTACACTTTGCAACCAGAGCCTGCACCATCCGTGTTTTTAATGTTTGCTTTCTCCTGAACAAAAACTAGTAGCTGGATAGAAAGTTTTACTGTGTGTTGGGGAATGACTACTGAGGTTTTAGAGAAAATGGAGGGCTGTTTCTTCTCCGAGAGCCTGAATATAAAAAGATTAATTTAGCTGAGAAATGAGCTTTGGAAACTTCTTTTCACTCTTAAATAAAATTTTACCAAGAGAAATTATTTTTTAAAAGCTCTGAAAAGTGATGGCTGAAGTGTTGCAGACAATTTTAGAATATGCATAGATGAAGAGGGTTGGAATGCAGCAGCAGTTGGGTGTTATAATTTATGAAGTAATGTATCCTGTATTCAATTAGATTTTAACTGATTAAATTTTAATTAGTTTTATTAGTTTACACTTTAGTGTAGAAGAGTTGATTGTGACAGATTAAAAACCTTGAATTTAGTAAGGAACTCAGAAGACCTTTCAAAGTGCCTCCCAGATGTTAGAAAATGATCCCTTTACCTATTCCAGTGTGTATGACCTTACACTGCATAGATTTTTATAGGCCTTACTAGTTTCTTTGTGTTGAGCTTGTGAGATAGTGATGTATTGGTGGATGGGATGTGTCAGGACAGATAGAAAACTAACTGGCATAGGTGGCTCTTCGGAATTGCCTGGTACAATGCATACTCCTTCATGTCCTGTAATGCGGTTGCTGTGCAAGCCCCTGCTCTGTTTTGATGAGGATTATACTTGCCCCGACAGAAGCATTTTCCACTTTAGTGTGGTATGATGCAGCTGGAGACAAGATAAGTGTACACTTGACAGGTTTGTTCACTTCTTTTGGTATAAACTAATTGTGTATGGTTTTCTTAATGTGTGTTTGCTTGTTCGTGTGTATATAATAAAAATTATAAGAAATTTGGGTCTGTAAACTGTAAGATGCCCTGAATACTGTATAAAATGTAGCTGTCACCAAATTTTGTCTTGGTGAATTTGTTCTGGGTTCACCTTAGAAAAAACTTTCCAGGAGCTTCTTGACAATTTTGAAGGAATCTTGTTAAGAAACAAAGATGGTCTTTTCCCACTTCTCAAAAAAATGACATCAGCCATGTCTCCTGAATAGCTGTATCCATTAAAAAAGAGTCTGGGGCAAAGCTAGGACTAGTCTAGCAAATTGCAAGATTTAAATGTAGTAAACTTTTTTTCTGTATCCTGTGGCAGTTCTTTTGATTTCAACTCAGCGTGTCTTCTCAGATGACTTCTTTTTCAGATGATCTGTCACCAGTTCAGGCTTTACTCAGATTCTATCAAATCACTTGTCAGCTACCTTCTCCAGTGGATCCTTTTCCAAAGTAAATTAAATAAGGCAGAGCCGCAGATCAAGAATAACATTTCATAATGACTTCCTTGTTATTTCCTGGTATACATGCATACGTTGTAGAGTGGAAATAGCAGATGAATAAGCCATGGGTGTACTTATACGTAGAAAGAGACTACCAATACTGCGTATCTGTATAAAAAGGCAAGTGTGATGCTCTGTGTATGATACTGTTGTATCCTTTTCCTCCTTTGGGGTACTGCACAGATTCTGGTGCTCTATGTCCAAGTGAGATCAGTTCAAAGTGAAACAAAGGCTACTGGAATAACTGGGAAAAATGTATAGCTACCAGAGGCTAGGAAGTCTAGTATTAGGATGGAGTGTGATAAATGTGTTGATGGAATTAAGTGGCAGGGAACAGAACTTGCTATAGGAATGTTCTTCAGTTCTTAATTTTTGTGTTCCTCAAGTATTTCTCTCAGACAGATCTTGTGGTGTAATAGTTGCTTACAGAAAAGCAGGAGATCCAGATCCTGAAAACTAGGGGTTTTGACTGGATTTCTCCTTCAACACAGGTATGAGGTGTGGGGTTATATTTTTTGGTGAAAGAGGGAGAGTTTGGAACATTAGTACAGAGGAAGTTGGTCTAATGGAATGTGTGAGCATCTTACTACAGTTTCTGAGCCTCTTTGGTTTTCTGCACACAAATACTTTGGAGTAATTTTTAGAAGAAAAGACTTTAAAATATGCTAATTTCTAGTTTAACTACTAAAATGATTTCATAAAATTCCCATTAACTTTGTGGGAGTAGGTTCAAAGTAAGAATTTTGCAAATGCAGTCTGCAGTGATTTCTGTAAACTTTAGTGATTGCATCATGTTTCTATTAGTTTCTGCTGTCTAACTTCCCTTTCTGTTAGAGGACTGAGGAAGGAAATTTACTGATAATTCCCCCCTGCTTATTTCCAGAAATGGCTGTTTCTTTGTGGAAGAATTTACTTCAGACTACAAAGGAAAGAATACTACAACAGAGAAGGATGTCACTGTATAATGGTGCTCATGGTTATGATGAAGAATTGTTAAAGAAGAAACTTCAGCAGTTTGCTGGTGGATCCATCAACCTCTCCAAAGAAGACAATGGCATTGGAATACTTACTTTGAACAACCCGAAGCTAATGAATGCCTTTACAGGTATGAATTAGTTGATGGAGTTGCTGGTTTGGTGGTGTTTGGTTTTTTTTTCCTCCTTCAGTTACCCATTTTAGCATTTTGCCTAAACAAAATGAAAAGCTATGCCTTCCTGTTCCTTTGTTAAAATAATAAATTCTTAATTTTTATCCAGGTATGCATCAAATACCTGCTGTTCTGCATAGTAGCTGTGTCATAATTGTCATAAGAATCTTAAGAAATTTCCAACAACATGGAGACTGTCTGGTAGAACATGCCTCTCCATCTTATTTTTCCACTCAGCACAGTTCTGCTACTGTGCTCTTTCTTGCATTTCCTTTCATTTCATCACTACTGCTTGGAAAAATATAGGGTATTTTTATGGGGGTGGGAAGATGCCATCTTTGTTTTGTAGGTGGTGTGGAAAGGGTGAGTTTACTTTGTTCTTCACCTAAATCCTTTTCTGTAACTTAAGCTTCTGTAATTTGGTTTTTGCAGTCGCCCAAACTGGCTTCCATTTCTTCTTCATTTGCCTTAAGTTTTAAGTACCAATGGCTGGTTAAAGATCAGATGAGCTGGGTATTCAAAAATCTATTTAATATGTTTTTACATTGGACAATACTTAGCTATCAAAACCAAGTGCCTTGTTTTATTTAGTCCTTTATGATGAGAGGCTTTTGATCTCCAAGATAGGTGTATTTGTCTAGAATATTCCAATTTATGCCATTCTCCTCAGATGTTAGTGGCACAGGTTCAGGGTCTGCATCTGCCTTAGCTGGAGCTGTAAGAATGACTTTATTTCTTGATATTTTGAAACTGATACATTTGTGTAATCTTGTTAATTTCTGTTTTGCTGTTCTGTTTTACTGCCCAGTTCTTACTGTTCCTTTGTTAGCAAATATGTTTGCAACCCACTAGCAAGTGCAGAGCTGTTTACATGAAGAACAATCTACTCCTGCCACTAATAATTGTTAGCTGAAAGGAAGAGAACCTAACAGAACAACAGAATTAGTGATAATGCACCTAGATGTGTCTGCAGTTACTCTTTTGTTTCCCTTTAAAAGCTCATGTATAAAATCATTACCTAACTTGAGAAGTTGTAGCTAAAAGATGTTAGCACGGGGATTGCCCTTCTGAATGCCTCCCTGTCAGCATACATGTTATTACAAGATCATAATTAGATTGTTTGTTTCTACAGATTTTTGTGTCAAAAATAAAAAACATAGAGCTGTGCAAGGTACAGCTCTTAGTTTATTTGCTGTGGAAGTTGAAAGGGGCGTGAGAAATGACATGCAGTAGAAAGGAGAAAGGACAGTTAAAGCCAGTCTGCTATCCAGATCGTATGTTATACAAGTAAACTGCTTAAACTAGACTTCCATAGAAACTTACAACTATATTCTCTGTTTTCTATGCTTGGCAGAAGGGGCTCAGAACTGATTTTTTGAAGTGCGGAGCAGTTGCAGCTGCTATTTAGGCCACTGGTAGCTGTGCTATGTAGTGTTAATGTATTGAAATCATATTGCACATATCAAGTTGAGCACCCAAAATTAGCATATATTTTCTCTTTTGCTCAGTTGGTGGCCTGTAAAAAAATCTCTTTTCTCCTTATAGGACTGCAGTGAAAAGAAATTATCAGTGTATGTGAATTAGATGCTCTAATTGCAAAGAGGAGCTACAAAAACCCATGAGGAAATTAATAGTTTTGCCTTTGTTGCAGACCCTGATTAGCATATAGCAAATGAGCCATGGCATCAGGCAGTTCTGTTTTGTTGTAGTGTGTAGAGCCCTATAGAGAGCAGTGTGCCATTTTGCTAGGTAATAGCCACAATAATTTTCTCAGGAAAATCTTACTATGGCGGTTCAAGAGATTACTGCTTCTTTCTACTGTGCACCTCTGCCAGAGACTTTTGTTTTTACAGGAGTGAGAACAGGAGCATGCTGGCCACTTGGCTGCTGCAGTGGAAGATACAGCATATTAATTTATATTGCTCTTCATTTCCTTTTAACATTACTGTCTGTAAACTGTAGTTGCTGAGGAACTAGCAAGAACTTGATCCTTTTCCTTTTGTTGCCTATCAAGTAATACCCTTCAGAAGTATGAAAAGGAATGGGATGCATAACCTGTAAATTGCCTCAGCAAGACCTGGTTGACTTCATCAGCTAGAGCCTGTAGATACCCCCTTCAAATAAATTCTGTCGATTCTGTGTCTCAGAGCTTTTGGATAGTGGCAGATGTGAATTTATATATACGTGTATGCTTCCTTTAGAAAGCTGCAAAACATCATTAAATTGTTGAGAGAAATCCTATTTGCCAGGCATTTACTTTACACAGCAGCTTTTTATCTCAAAGGAATTATGTTTATTCTAAGCTTGAGCAACTCATAGAACCAAAAGCAGAACAAAATTGGTGGCAAATTGCTAATGGGCAATGTGGAGGTTGTTATGCCTTTTTTCTCTTCTTAATTGGAATCTGATAGCCACCTGTTTGAAATGGTCTCTTTGGAAACAAATGCTAAGAATGTCAGTTTAAGCCTGGTGGAAACAATTTCAGCAGCCCAACCTCTTGCTGAACTAAAGTTGAACATAATTTAAAAGAGAAGGAAGCCAGCCCACTGGAATTGGATAATAATGGTGATGATTTTATTTTCTAGAATTGACTTTAAAGCATTTATTCTCAGGTTATAGTTAAGATGCAAACAAATTATTATTCCAAGTAGATTTAGTTCTGTGAAGAGCATGAACCTACTGGAATCAAATACTGAAGGACCGAAACTATCGGAATGAGGATTTGCTCTAGTATTATCTTTTCCTCGTTATTTCAAACATCATGGACTGTGTCTGTTGGTAAAATAATAGTTCAGTGTTGTCAGTAACGGAAGGGATCCTCCCAGGAGGACAGGACAAGCTCTGGCCAGTGTCTTGTGTCCCCTGTTGTTGCATGTAACTGGCTCATATGGTTCCTTTTTTGTAAACTCCGTTTTTCAGTTAACTAGATTTTTGGCTTGTAATATTCTGTGGAAAGACTCTTAAGTACCTCACTGCTTTGACTATTAAAAGCAGCACAAACAGTGGTTGTGCTGTATCTGGACTGTGGCAAAGCTCGGATGCCAGACCAAATATCTTTCTTGTAAGAAAATTTGGCAAATATGCAAAAAGTGAAATCCATGTGGTTGATGCACGCCTGTTTAAACAGAAGCAAGTTGTTGAGTGTAGTGTCAGTCTGGAAAAGCATTTCAAGTGAAGACCCACAAAAATCTCATCTAGGCCTAGTTCTGCTCAGTATTTTCATTCATGACTTGGATGATGAAGTAGAAGGTGAACTGCTGAAATTGTTAGATGACCCCAAACTGGGAGAGCTTACTGGGAGATTATTATTTGGAGAAGAGGAGTGGAATTCAAAGTGATCTTGATAAAATGCTACAGAGCTCAAGATTGACAAGGTGAAATTCAGTGAAAGGAAATATAATGTGCAACACACAAAAGGCATGACCAAATTATAAATACAGAAGGGAAAGGAATCCCTAAAAGTGCTGTGATGTGTTAGAGGATCATAGTCTGGACCTGACAGTGGAAAAAAAACAACCCAATGTTGTTCTGGTATATAACATGTAATATCCACTTAATTATTGACCTCCTCAGGAACATTGTCAAAATGTGCTATTTCAGTGGCTGAAGCCAAGCTTAAGGTGGAAGAGCATTCACTCTTGACCTGGTGCTGGGAAGCTTACTTCATAAGGAACTGCAAGAAAAACAAGCAGGAAGGAAAAAAAAATTCTCCCATGTGAAGATGGCTGCTAACAGGCAATTTCAGAACAGGATGAGTTCTGTACATGCACGTGTAGGGTCAAAAAACCACTTTTGGCAGAAAAGAAAAGAGCCCTTGAAGGTATTAATCTAAAACAGATTTCTCTCTGAAGAAGGTAGGCCTGTCTGTCTAAATTCTTGTCAAAGGTGGGTAAAACTGAGAGTGTCATCAGCCTGTATGTAGCCTGCTTTCTCGAATTATTTTCTATAAATGTTTTCTCTTCAGAATATAACTGAATGAGAGTCATTGGCATTCAGAGAGGAGAAGCTGTAAGTTAATGCTGGGTAAGCTTAATTGGTTATGGAAGATGCTGCAGTTTAGGACAAGTTCTAGAAACAGGAGTTTCTAGAGTTCCATGTTGGGCAGGGTACTTAAGTGAATATATGGGTATGTTATGTTTAAGCTAGAAATAAAAAGCTAGTACTGTTGGAGCTTAGAATATACTTTGTAAAGAGATCCATTCTAGAAAGGTACCAGTGAGGGAATCAAAGATATTACAGGAAGATAGATTTTTTTTCCTCTTAAAAGATAAAAGACGTTTTGCTCCTATTTTCATATATACCTTTATTTTCTTTGGATGGATACTTCTAAATGCCTTTGGCCTCCAACATAGTTTGCTCTTTAGCCTTTTTTTAGGAGTCTTTATTAACATTGACTTGGTTGTACCTTGAGCCCACCTTGCACATGATGCTTTTCTGTACTCTGCCAGTTCTTTAGGCAGGGTGAAATGTCAGTAACATCAGAATGACTAGATGGACAGATCTGGATAGATACATGTAAATTCATGTGTCCTGAATGTATTCAATTGCAAACAAGAATAAATCAGGTAGCTTATGCTTGCCACCTTGCACTTGCTTCCTTGCACTTTTTTTTTTTTTTTTTTTTTTTTTCAGAATTTTGGGACAATCATCTTTGAGGAAAAAATGTGTGTTAGTGCTTGTGTGCGGGATTTAAGGAGATGCTTTCCCTTGTGGTTTTAAACCCATCATTTACTAACAATAACTTGGTTTTGGTGGTGAAAAAAAGTAATGTAAAACATAATGGTGATGATAATTTCCCGTTAAAAATTTTGCTTCTCCCTCTTGTGACAGGTACTATGATGGTAGAACTCCAGGAGAGGGTAACTGAACTGGAAAACTGGAAGGATGGCAAAGGCCTCATCATCTATGGTGCAGGAAACACCTTTTGCTCAGGATCTGATTTAAATGCTGTCAAAGCAATATCCAACTCTCAGGCAAGTAGTGATACAAATTAAGTTTTGGAGAAAAATGAGCTTTCTGATATTCTGAGATCCTTTTCAGACAGAGGTGTTGTGCTATTCTGCTATTTTACATGCAAGTCACAGAATGGAGCTTTTAATGACTGAAAAAATGTTGTTGACAACCCCTTTAAGCCATGACTGAAGTGTTATTGTAATTGATTCATAACTCTGAATTTATACATTACATATTCTTTTTAGCCTTTTATTTTTAAAATGTCATTTTGGTTTCTCAGAGCAGTATATGGTGAATTTACACATCAAATAAGCTGTGCTTTAGTAGTTTGACCTTTAGAGGCAGATACAAGTAATCATTTCTCATAAATTTATTTTTGACTTTAGAATATAACTAGAATGGCCACTATTAGAGAAGGGTTTCAATTTTGTCAAAACTGTGCTTGGACGTGCCTAAAATGGAAGGACAGATGCAATGTCTTGTGCTGTAGAGCTCTGACACTGATCTTGTAGTCTAGTCACATGAGTTGTGTGTAATTATGGGGTTGAAGAGGTCAGGGTTTGACAGCAGTTTTTCACTCATGCCACCCATCTTGACAACTTTCATGTGTGCTGCAATTCTTTTTATGGGTTAATATTTGGTTTTTGGCAATGTGTGAAATAGAATTTTGTCAACTGCAGGGGAGGAGGGCCTTCCTGTGCTGCTCTTAAGTCCTGGTTTGTGATTGTAGTAACTGGTGTCCTGGTGCTTTTTTGTGGCGACTTCAGGTTTCAGGAGTTAACTACCCAAATTAAACATTTAATTAAACGTTCCAGTAAGAACACCAACTCAAAAACCGATTAATCTGGCATTTGTCTCTAGTGGTGAGTTGTTTCTGTTGATGACACTAAATATCATAAAAAACACTGTCTTAAATATTTCTGGTCTAATAAAATGAAGAGGACGGTTTAGTTTTCAAAAGGTATAGGAGTTCGTTTCCTTTGTGGAACACCACGAGAGGTGTACTTTTCTTAATATGAAGACAGCATGCTTTATAGATATATATCATTTTTGGGGAATTTTCATTTGGATACTTTATAAGCACTGGTTATTTAAAAAATACAGATGTATCTGTGATTTTTGGGTGGGTTTTTTAATTGATTTTTTTTTTTTTTTAAATCGGAAATTTTCAGCTTGTTTTAGCATTATAGCAACAGAAAAGGAGCTGAAACCAAGCATGGGACAGTTCTTTTCTTACCTGCACTCTAGGCTTTCCTCCGGAGTTCTGCATTCAGTAATTCTCAGTGATTCTGCTTTCTTTGACGTTTAGTATTCTGTCTATATGTTTATACAAATTATTTGAAGCTGCTACAGTGGCAGAGAGGGCTCTTGTAAGGATCAGAGTCCATAACAGATATACTGAGCAGAATGAAATGCATAGGTATTAAATATAACTTTGTTGAAAATTCTCTGCAAATAATCTAGATCTCATGCTAGTATTGAAATGTAAGTCTAAGAGTCATCAGAAATGTTCCATGAATAGTTAAACATGGTTGCTTTTTATTTCCTTGTGTGAGTTCAAACTACTTATGCTGAACTGAGAGTTTCTTTCTAATGGCCAACTCCTTAACCATCTGTTTGGTGGAATTTAACAGTCTTTATTAAATAAAACTTTAATAGAATAAGGAATAGCATTTGCTGTTATTTAGTCTTGCAGAACTTTGGTCTCTAACTCGCTGCAGATGAGAGAGTTTTGTCTGGTTTCAGGTTAAAAGAGCATTAGGTTAAGTTTTTCTGTCCACAAGCATCCCTAAGGCAAAAAAAAATGTTAATAGCTTCATGCCTGAACTGATACGGTTTTCCTTTGTTTTTTTGCAAGGCTGCTTTAGCCCATAACTTTTAGTAATTACAGAAAACAGTTTTATTCAACCAGTTACTTGAGGGAAGATTGTATTTTTCATAATCTGTGATACAGTTTGTCTTTACCTCTGGTGCAGAAAAGGCAAAATAATGGCCAAGAATGCTGAAGGATTTTCATGCCCCCTAGTGGCTGCTCTTCCTTTTCTTCTTCCTCCTCCTCTTCCTCTTCATCTTCCTCCCATGTTCAGTACTCCGTAACCCTGAAACAAACCTGAGGCCCCTGCCTGTTCTTCCTTGGCGAGTGCTAACATTACATGATCAAATCACAGTAGGCAAATTAATAGTGGAATTAAAAAAAAAAATAAAATTTTTTTTTCTTCCTGTCCTTGTAAGCCTGGCTCCCAAGAGCAATAACCTCATTCTCAAGTGAGTCTTGAAAAGCTGACTAGCTAAAAAACAGGAGAGGCTCTTGAAAAGCTGAGAGGAAGGAGGCACAAAGAGGAATTTAACTTTCCTTGGTCCTTGTCTAGAAGCCCTAGGGCAAAGGTTTCTGTGGAGTAAGCCACGGCAGAGTTGAAGTTGAAGCAGTTGGAGACAGAGCATTATTTCCAGACCATCTGTAGTGAAAGCGGACTCTAAGCTCTTGCAGCAAAGAGAGACAGTGTTACAGTTTTCTACTTTACAAAGGTGACTTTCTTCTTCCCTGCCTTCCCCAGCCCCACCGCAAACTATTAATCTTTTTCTTCCATATGTATTGTATACTGTATTTTACCTCACTTTCTGCTTGTTAGATTTCTTCTTACACCAGGGACAGTATTAGAGCTGAAAATGTGATTATTCCACTAGACTGCAGTGAACACCTCTCTTATTCAGATAAAATAGTCTGACTAGTAGCCTTATTTTTCTTATCGGGAAGGTTTGAAGGGTATGTTGGCTGGGACTCAGGTAATTGTAATTTATTTTTTTCAGGGTGTTTTCGGTGCAGGCATTTTTTCCATGTGATACACAGTAATCTCTCTACCACCTGAGAATAGGAAGACCTTTCTTTTTGTCTGCTCAGCCATAAAGGCATTTATCAAGCTGGTCTGTTCTGGCTTTAATCTTTAATTACCATTTTGGATTTTGGTATGAATTGAGACAATCAGTTTGAATGCAAGGACCCTGCTGTGACGAAGTGAAAAATTACTTTCTCTGAAGAGGTTTTTTGCAGCTTCATCCTGATGGTTGTAGTATGGGAATTGTGCAAGTCCATGTCTGAGAACTGGTACCTTGTATATTTGTGTGGGTTTAGAATTTAGCTGTTAAAACAGCTGTAATGGAGGATTTGATTGTTCTTTAATTTGGAATGGAAATACTGATACTGGTCTTAATGGCTGTAGGAGGTAGATACAGTGGTAACTAAAAGCATCTTTGTAAATCAACATGTGCTGAAATTTTCAAGCAGGCCTTTAATGTAATGAAACTGAATTCACTGCTTCCTGTGCAGTGATTGTCATGCCAGCTTGTATCTGCCAGCGATCTGTCCTTAAACACCATAATGCTGTTCATGTTGGGCAGAGTAGGTCTTGAACACATGAATAATTGGACAATAAATCAGCTGAAGGTGGCCTACTGTTATTTCAAGGCCCTATTTCAACATGTACTGAAGACTTAATGCATATCTTTTCTTTTCCTGAGGTATGAGTCAGAAGCTTTTAATTAAGGCAGATTCTATAACTTGCCAACCCCTGTAAAACTGTGTTTTAGAAATTAGTAAATGCCAGTAGAGATGTTTGGTTTTTATTTTTCTTCCTAACATTTTTTTTGTTTGTTTTGGATTTTTGTTTTGTTTTGGTTTTTTTTAAAGACATGCTGAAATTGTTACCTACTGGTTTTTTACTTTCTTTTATTTTTTTTTTTTTAAATAAGGATTAAATGGCACATGTAGTTCACTGTATGCGGTTCAATATGTATATGAACATGGTCATACTGGATCATTTAGCCCAGTCATTTGTTGAATTTCTGGTTAATACTAGACATGTAGAAAGAATATAAGAACAGGGAAGGCAAATAGACAATGATTTTGCTTCAGAATATTATCTTAGTCCCCAGTGATTTGTAACTAAGACTTCTAGAGCTAGAGGTGTTACCTTGTATTTGATAACCTTTTGTCAATTTTTCTCTAGTGAGTTTATCCAGTTGTTCTTGAATTCATGTAGAGGTTGCAGTGCCCTGCTGCAAGGTGTTCTGCAGTTTAACTACATGTTGTAGGAAGAAATACTTGTCTTGAACCTAGCAGCAACTGATTTTATTTGGACCCCTTAGTTCTTCTACTGTAAGAGAAGGGAACAATTGTTCCCTATTCACTATTGATTGCAAGCTAGTGTAAAACATAAATGAGGAGAGAAATAAGAAGAATTTTCTTTTGGTTTGTTGGGTGGGGTGTTTTTTTGGCTGAAATTTTTTTGGCCCAAACAATAAAAAAATGAAGTTGGTAAATTGTATCTTGTCTAAAATTTTCTAGATGTGGTCCAGTAAAAAGTATGCAGCACTCTGTAGTCCTATACAGACTTAAAACTCAGCTTTATGGGTGTTTCACTGGGAATAAGAAGAGGAAATTAAGAGGAAAGGATGTAAAATTTCACATCATAGAAATTCAGTATTGCAGTTACTTTAACAGTGGCTTAATTATAGCTGAAATTCATATAAATTGATTGAGTTCTGATTTGGGGTTTTTTTTTATAAACTTGATTTATACTAGGTTTACTATTTGTGCATAGTAGGGTTAGTCTGGAATTCATGCAAGATTAACCAAAGAGAAAAAACCCAGCTAGAACAAGTATAATGAATACTCCTGTCTACTCCATCTGTGTGTTTAGTTGCTCCACATTAGGATCACTTAACATTTTTTAATTTCCTATTCTTTGTAGGATGGGATGAATATGTGCATGTTTATGCAAAACACTTTAACCAGACTTATGAGGTAATATATTTTATTTACCCTTCTTTATGAAGTAATTATAAGGATTGGAATATGTTTTGGTTAACTCTTTTAATAAGATGTTTAAAGTTAAATACGTAGTTTTGAGTATGTAATTTTGAATCCCAGACCTTGTATTTGCACATGTTAATCAGGTAGGTATTTATGGATTTATATTAGGCCTTGGCATTTTGCAAATACTAGACTTCCTAGAGACTATAACAGAAAAAAACTCTATAGTTTTCTATGTGGAGAGTCAGGAGATACCTAGAGTTAAGGAAATCTAAGCCTTCAGAGTTTCTGAAGCTGATTTCTGTAACTCAGCGGAAATTGGTAGCTCTTAAAACAAGCAGGGCCAGCTTATGCAGCCTACGCAGGTAACATTTATTTAATATATTTATTTAATCTTCCCACTTCATAAGAGGAATGTATTCAGTTATACCATCTGGTACTTCTGAAAAACATTTTTTCCTTTCCTTTAGAGTTAGTTTCCCTTAAGAAATTACATTGCTATTAAATCCATGTGTGTTTTTTTGTTCTGCTCAGAGTTCTTTGAAGATGAGTATTCTTTGTTTTCAAATAATCTAGATGTGTCATGAATTAACATTATTCTGTAAAACTGCCCAGGAGATTGGAGACTTAGTAGTAGTACTGTAAGGAATCCTCAGGATCAGAATTAGAATCCATTTGTGTAAGTTGGTCTCCATATAATCAAAACTGATGGGACAAAGCAAAGAGGAGGAAGATGTATGAAGATTAAGCCCTCACCTCAGGTGCCTTGACTTGGAGTATGTTGGAGCTGTGTGTGGTTTGGGGATGGGGACATCTATTGTAGATGGGGATCAATCTGCCTCAGAGGGAGCTGAGGCTGACTGTGATCCTGAAGGAGGTGCCTCAGATAGATGAGAGTGTGGATGTAGAGGACTTGGACCCATATCTACTGGTTCCCCATAGACCACAGGAAAAATAAAGTTACTATCTTCCAGTGGGTTACACTTATGCCTTGTATTGTATGACGTGTGCTGTAGCTTATAAGTGAACTTGGGCCTTAAGAAATTGGTGCTTCTGTTAAAGTAGAAGTAAAACCAACTGTGGTCATGATTGAGAAGCTGACTTCTGAATGTGGTTTCAAAACTGCTCAATGAGCTAAATATCTGTAATAAAAGACAAAACAGCTGTATCAGCCTGCAAAGTCTGGTACTAACCAGTTGGCTTCATTTCTTAGGAAACTTGGCTTATCCTAGATCAGTCAGTCTTCATTAGTATTCATTTCACAATGGCAGTGGGGAAGGAGGTTCTCCCTACATACTTTTCCTTCCCTCTGTCCTTTGAATTACCTTGAACATGATTAAATAACTTGAGTGTGATTAAATACAACATCATCAAAGGTAACAGATTGTTGCTATCCTCAAAGGATGGGTTCGTCTTCCAAAAAAATATTGTTGTTGATGACTGAGATGGTAGCACTTTGAAGAAGCTGCTGAAGGTATCATGTTGAATCTCATTATTTTTAGATAACCTAGCCATGCAGTTCTTTATGTCCCTTTATAATGCTTTCTGTAGTGTAGTGGCTTAGTGTAGGGTCTTGTATCACTGTCCTGTCACTCCTCCTTCCTTACAATCTTTTTAGATATAATTTGTATTATATATTTTTCATAATGATCTTGCATACTTTTATTCCATTTGATGTATCTGTCTTGAAGTTTCATTTTGCGATTCCATATTAATTGTGCAATAATCATTTTAGTGTAAGTAGACTTGGTATTGTGCTACTTACCCACAAAAATGTAGTTATTTAAATGAGTTTGAACGGTATATTTTTCAGATCTTGTATTATAGAGATGGCTTGCTTGAATACTCTTGCAATTTCTAGAAGACTAAAAGCATGAATTCTGGTTACAAAACTCTCTTGTGTAGATTGCCTTTGATCAGTGTTGCGCTAGTACAAGGAAAAGCTTTTGGAGGAGGAGCAGAACTTACCACAGCATGTGATTTCAGGTAAGATCAACAATTTAAGTAGCTGTATCTTGGGTCAGTGATTTAATGACTGCACCTATGAAATGTGGGAAGATTGAGGTACCACTTTTATCAGGACTCATGTCTGTGAATTCTAAGACACTTGAAACTGGGCTTTGCCAGCAGACCACAGGAAAAAAGTTTGGGCTTTCTGTTAGTACAGAGGAAAGATTATTTGCTGCCAGGTTATCATTGTGTAAACAAGTCCAGTGAGGAGTTTTAGCAACCAACTGTGTCATAGACCAAGTGGTCCAACTTCTCACCCCTGAGTGAGAGGTAGGAGGACTGCAAAATTTATATCCTTTTCTGTTCTTTATATGGCTGTCATAAGTAAAAATAAAGTTCTGCATTAGTCTGGTATTTTATGGTCTGGGTTTATTATTTGTAATATAACTTTGTTCTGTACATCAAGAAACAAGAGTTTGAGATGCAGTAGAAAGTAAATGAAGTTCTGTCCCTGTTTTTTTCCATGCAGGTGCAGGGATTTGCCAGCATGAATCAGCTAGCAGAAAACAGAGGGCTTTAATTAAAGAGCCTGAATGCAGAACAGGAACTGGGAAAAACTAAAATAATAAAATGTCACTTCATTTAAATAGTTGCTAATGTGAAAATAGCCTACAGATGTAACAGGATAAGCACTGTGCATAGCCTCTCTGAAAAATTAGGAGCTTTTAGAGAAGTAAATATGCTCTTTAAGAGCACCTGAAGTGGGAAAGGAATTGCCCAGAACAAGCTGAAAGTACTTATATTAAAAAGTAATACTAAGCAAAGTAAGCTAGAGTATTACACTGCTGTTCCAGGTATCAGGAACAGGCTTTGGATAGAGGAGATGGCATCTGCACTGTCAGCCACTTGGAAGCAGTCTTCCTTTGCTTTGAAACTAGATGCAGCCCGATCTTGCTTCGTACCTACACAGCACCCAGTGAACTGGAACCTTGGCTCTGACTATGGCCTCTGCGTACGGGCTGCATTATAAATGCCAAGTAAACATGCAGAGGTACTGTGTTTGACAGCTGCAGTGCTGACAGGAGAATGCACCTGGGAGACTTAGTAGACCTTCCTGTATCTGTGAATCCGTTGACAGAAAGTGAATCCTGTTATCCCTAAATAGGAGTTTAGGGAATGGGAACATAATTAAATGGAAATCTTTTGACTTTCTAAAATATGTACTCTCTACTTGTATTCCAGCCATGTTGTTTGACATACTGTGTAATTATAGTCATTGTCAAGTAGCTCTTATTTGCATGAATTGAGCAGCTGCAATTCCTCTGATGTGCTGCCATAATTTTCATAATAACTACAGCTGTTGATCCATCTTCCATTACTTTCTAACACACCCATCCAGTGCAACTAAATAGTAGCAATTCAGGAGCAGCAAATGGGACTTAATTAATAACAACAAGAAGATAGAGAAACATACTCTGTGCTGCTGTTGCTCCTGAATTTGAGAAATTTAATAACAGGGGAAAGAATCCAGTTTTTTTTTTGAGGGCTCTGAGTAGGTATTAGTGGAACATGTATTCTGTCCTGAGTCACTAGATGCCAGAAGAGGAAATTAAGAACAGAAATCAGAGAGGTTTGTTTTCTTCTCTGAATAAACTGTTTGGATATTTTATTTTTTAAGAACAGAATGAGTGAGTTGTGTCTGCTTTTAATTCTAAATTTTCACATGCACTTCTGTTTTTCACAGTTACCATGTAAACTACCAAATTGCTTGGTACTGGCTTGAAATATTTTCTTATTTTTATTTCTGCTACTCTGTACTGCATTAACTATACTAACATAGTTGAAGTGATTTACTTGAATGAAAATGGCTTAGGACCTTCTCTGAAATGTGCTCTGGCAGCATGTTGCACATCTCTACTAAAGTAGAGGTGTGGACAAATACAATTTTAAAATAGCTGAGGTGGTTTAAGATATTATGATGCATTCTTTCAGTGGCAATTCTTGTGGCTAATTGTCTCTTACTCTGTTTTAAGACAGATCATTTAAAATTGAATTAGGGAGAGTTTGCATGAACTCTGGCACATTTATGGCTGGTAAGGGCAGCGATGAAAAGTGAAAACATCTTAGGTCACTACATTTGATCTGGGGGAAGAGGTCTTCTCAAAACATCTTCAATCTTAACTGCTTTATGGATTGTTGCAGTATAACTCTGTAAGAATAGCATCCTTATAAAGATCATAAACATGTGACTGGGAAAAAAAAATCATTGTCCAGACAAGTAATCAAAATAATTTCAGATTTTTTCCAATATGAAAATTGGGAAGAGAAACAACTACAGTATAAGAAGTCTTATCTCAATTATTTCTGTGAAACTGTGTAATGTAAAACCATGCAGGTATGAAACTGGTGTGGTCAGTTGAGCTTTTTAGTAGTTTCAAGAAACCTTTTTTTTCAGTGTGACACAGTTCTCCCTGATGTGAAGATGGCTCATGGGTTCTTCTGCCACATGTCAGTGTACGTTGTGGTTCTCCATGATACTGCAGCCATTTTAGTGAAGTGCAAAAATGACTTTAGTGTTGGATTCAGTGATGCAATTTTACAAGTAATTGAAATGAAGTACCTGTTCCGAGTTCCCTATATGCAGAAACTTGAGTTGCACAATGCATGGTTAGAGAGAACTGATTTTACAGCATTGGTTAAGGAATTTGGACAAGGATTGTAGTCGGTTGTTGGGCAAAAAGCTAACAGTTTAGATGTGGGGCAGAGACTGGTAATTGTTTGTGCTTCTAGTAGGTCACAATAATCTCTGAGTGCAGTAGCTGCAGTATGCTGCCAGCCGGTAGCCAGAATAACTAACTTTGAATTCTGAGCTGTCTTGTCTTCTAATTCATGTTGGTGCCTTTGAGAAATCTCACTGGGGCGATGTCTGTGTAGGTCTTTCAGACACATCCTCAGCTTTGAAAATTTAGTCCTACATCTCTTGGCAAACAGACTTCCATTGTACCAGAGTGCTTCTGAAAAATGCAGTCTCTTCCCCCCTACCCCTTTTTCCTCTCTAATGCTGCTGCAGTCAAAATAGAGGTTTGTCTCTGCTATGTGAGTCCAATTTCAAAAGTGGTGTCTCCAGGCAGAGGATGAGAGTGCAAAGATGGGAAGCTACCTGTTTGTCTTACTATTGACCTCAAAATGGGCTATAGGTAGAGGCATCAGTATTCTCCTTTTATAGAAAATAATCAACTATAATTTCTTCACCTGTAATTGATCTTGCACAGACAGATTGCAAAGGGCCAACTTAATTACTGTTGTTAGTACTGAGCAGTTTCCTACTTAGTGAAAAGCACCATTGATTTAGAGGTATTTGTTTTCTGAGCAGACTTCTGCCCTGTATCTGTAGGAATGGCAGAATGAAGCTTTTAACAAGTGAAGAAGCTTATGTTAATAATGCTGCATTTATCAAATTGGCCGTGCTGCATTTTAGTTGGATGTTTTCTTTATTTTTGTGAAGTATGTATTACATCTTAAGGTGTTCAGCATGTTCCATAAAACACCTAATAAAAGATAAAATTAAATGCACTGCTGTTGACTAGCTTATGTTGTGTATGTTCTTGTGATGACTTGTGTTTATTTCCTTTTACAAGCATGCATTTAGTGCATTAAGTATAACTTAGACTAAATGAAAGGAGCAGAAGATACTATAACCACTACATAGATATAGGCCCACTGTGACTAACTTTTCAGTTGTTGCTCCTTTCAAGAAAGAAGGGGGGGGAGCTGTAAAGGCATTAATATTCTATAGTAAGCTTTTCCAAGAATATGTTTCAGAGCATCAGAGCACAACACACTAGCTTCTTTGGAAATATTTAGCTGTATACAAGGATTTTGGCTTTTAGTTTAATCAAGAGGAGGCTTTAGGTACACAAGATGCTGCTGTTTGAAATAAGGGGCCACAGTACATAGTAGTTCTTTTCACTGGGCAGAGCATGATATGAATGTAACGGGATGGGGCTCACATATTCATGAGCTTTTGCAAAGTCCAGCCTGACAGAGCACTTTTCATTAGATGTGACTCCATAACATTGCTGCACATCACCAGGAAAAGAATCAGTAGCCAAATCTGACTGGGTTCTCACAGCTTCAGGTGCACGCTATATGCCATAGAAAACTTTATTTACTATATAAAATTTTCCTTTCTGATATATATACACACACACATATACATATATATATATATATATATATGTGTAAAACCTCCTTCAAATCAGTTGGCAATTTTAGAATTCCATTGCAGTCATGCATCACTTCACATTTTAGAGGCCTGGGAAGTTTGTTAGTACAATTTTCTGATGAATTTTCAGAGATGGATTATGGTTTTAAAAGTTTCACACTGCCTGCCTTTGGGAAGGCTGTTCTTATTTTTGACCTGGCACACTTGACATCTGGTAAAGTAATTGCAGCACTGTTAGAAATAGACTTAAGAGCTTGTACATTTGGGCTTGTAATTATGGACTGGTATTGGTTTTTCTTCATTATCAGTTTTCATTTGGGTTTGAATTTCACGTGTTTACAATCTTCCAGGCAGAGGATTTTTTACCACTTTGATTTTTACTGGAAAGGTAAATAACAGCAACAAAGCATGAATTTGAGTTGACGTTTTCTTTGACGTTGTCTTTTTGTAGGGATTTACTTCATTCCAAGTTTTGTGGTTTGTTTTTGGTTTTTTTTTTTCCTTTGTGTGGCCAAACCATCTTGCCCTGGGTGAATGAGATTTTTCTTATCAGCGTATGTCTGTGTTTTAGACCACTTGTACCATGCAGTCTTGTGTCCTTTTTGTTGAACAGTCTTGTCTGCAGCTGATTCTGTGTTACACAGTAATAATAAACAGAGATAGTCCAGATAATGGAAAACTTAGCTAAGACAGATTTTAGGGAATGCAGCGCTGCACCCATGCTGATTCTTGCTGAGACATGGGGCTGTTGGTACTCTGTGGGGAAGCATTCAAGGTTCAATGAAAATTAGTTTAGGAAGAGCGCAAATGC